TCATTTTCCCCTAGAACGAGCATCACGATCGATGTAACCTCCATGTCCTCTACGCCCCAGTGGTCGCGTCGTATACGAAATTGTCTCCACGACAATATATGGTATTAGGCCTTATCCGCTTCCGTGGCCTGACATTTTCGTTACGGGTCAGCAGTTCGATCGCGGTAGCGTTCGATGACGAGATCCTCTTGGAGGTATTTTTACGTGATCCGTCGTATTACGGCAAATCTTCAATTTTTTTCACGTGTCAGTAACAAAAGAGAAAGACAAAAATATTCTTCCCGCGTATATTCACACAGTTGACGATAAATCAAATGATATTCTTTATTTAAGAAAACGTTCATGATATTTTCCAATCTTGGTTGACGAGACATTTTCGAGTCAAAAATACCTCGTGCCTGAATATTCACGCGTCGCGTGCATCACACGAATGTTTACTATAAATAATTTGTAAAATCATTATTTTGTTAATTAATTTGATATACTCAACTCCTTTTGTACACTCTGAAATATTTGCTGCCGCCAAACACCGTCAGACACAGCTCAGTGTCAAACAATATGTTTGATCAGGAAATACGTAGGATGAAATTGAGAAACGACACCCTGGCGCACATTGTATAAAATATTTCAACGGGAAGGAACAAATGCTCGAGTTGGCGCGCGCTCAATTGTATGATATCATCGGGAGCAACGATGATCTCCACGCAAGGTCTCGCGCAATATTCTTTCAATTTCACTTATGTCACTGCTATATTTGTCGCCGGATCGTCACGGCGAAGGGCAATTAACTTTACCTCGCTTTTCGTCGACATTGCACTTTCTCGATTTCCCCGTCACGAAGATTTCTGCGTAACCGCTTGGCGCGGCGTCACCATTAAACTTACTCTTCTTCTGTGCAGAGCGCGACGTCGTCGGCTCTGCAACCGAGACGAGAGCAAACGGATATTGGAATCGCGATATTTTCGTTCGGAAAAGTTCGGAAAAGCGAATATATCTTTCACGGGGAAAAGTCGTCCGCCCGTGAGACTCCGGTTTCCGGAAATGACGTGGCTTGGTATTCTGACGAACTTGGAATTCTCGGATTAGCGAAATCGCGCGGCTAATATTCCGAAAAGACCTTCGCACACGTTCGAGGCAAGCTCAAATTCGAGTGCTCGCGAACGTGCGCATTCACATCGGTGCGTATGTTGCCGGATGCGCCGCCTCCTCTTTTGCCGTTTGTTTTAGTTTTCCTGTTTTTATTTACGCGAAAACGCAAACGTAGTGAGTAACGTGCGCGGCCATAAAACATTTTCACTACGCCAATGAAATCCGTGCTCGAAGTAAAAATTTCCGCGCTGCACAATTTCTATTTCGCGATAAATCACGATTAAGAGCGTGACGTATGTCGAAACGATCCCTTCCTCTGCAATACTGAGCGACGTACTGTGCCGTGCACAACGCCAAGAGATTCATAAAAGATTCGAAAGTTGAGAAGAAAGAATGAGAAAAAAAAAAGGGAGAGAGAAAGAGAGAACTGAAAGAGCTCGCGGAGCGGCGCATAATGGTCGTAAATTACGGTTTATGGGGTCGTCTCGGCGTTTTCCCTTTGTTTTTGATTAACGTTTTAAAATGCACAACGCGCAAATCGCCGCCAACGTCGGAAGGATCGAGTGCTACCTGGGAGGGCCAGCAGCGAAAGGGTCGCGGACATTCGCCGAATCGGATCGATGAAATGCGAAATAAAAAACGTGCGCAGCAGGACAATGTCTAAATTCGCTCGGGCGAGTGACGCGAACCCTCATTGTCGACACGGTCTTATCGCGTCGGCTGTACGTATGCCGTGTACGTATGTACGTTTACCCGAACACAATATTTGCGTTCCGTTGGTCTTTGAGAGAGAACGACACAATGGCCCTTGTCCAAAGCATCGGCCACGCGACCTCGTGCCCAGAGCGAATAAACCTCTCGCGACGCAGCTTCCGGCTAGAATTAATTCGTCCTTTGCTATAATGACCGCCAGGCGTGCTGCGCATAATTCATCGGAAACCTCCCACCCGGTCGATCTAAAATCATTTCAGTCGCATATATTTCGAGCGAGGCGAATCCCGTTGCGGGAGCTTGCGACTTTCAATGAGATCTCCGCGCGAGCGCGCGTCCAAGTTAAATTCAATTTTGATGACGATTTATCTTTGCCTCTCTCGATGAGAGAGAATTATCTGTCGGTGGGAAATTTTAGGAGCGTCTGGAAAAAGGAGCCGAGATCGTAGACGACGTGGCCACTACAAAGATGTTCGAGTAAATTGACGTTCAGCGTCGTTTTCCTAATTTTTTGCATTGCGCACCTTTCGCGTTACCAAGTAGTTAAATTTATCTTGGTTCTCTCACTTTGAAACTTATGCTATTAATTCTCCCGGGTGCCAGGAAGCAATTACTTTTATGTCCACTGTACTGTCGCTCGAGCGTGTGATCTTTTTAACAAGACTTGGAACGTAATTGGAATCGTCTGCCACTCATATTCACCAATTCTTATTATAGTGCATTGGCAAAATATTGTTTCTATATTCAAAATTAGCGCGACGAGATTACGGCACGGTCATTATGTCATAAAGCGAGATTCTGGAGTGTCCTTGAATCGGTCCGCCGAAGAAACGGTATATATGTATACAGTATAAGTAATCGGTTAAACATCGGTGTTATATATATAAAGTAGCAATAAATATGTTTCAATTAACAAAATTATCTCGCAACCACTTCTCACTCGAGAATAGACCAGAGCCAAATGTAGTAAGGGTAAATCCGTCGAAGCCATCTCAACCGTTATTGAGCGTAAATTTGCGAGTTCCTTCTCCTCGGGGTTCGTATTCAACCAAAATTCTCTTGTTGCTTGTTTTGCGCAGTGTCGTTTTACATCACATTAACGAGAGAATAACAGAGATGGAGAGAGGGAGGGAGGGAGGGAGGAAGGAAGGGAGGGAGGGAGAAGTAATGAAGAGAACGTCGGCGCAGATTTTCTTGCGATCGTTTTTCCCGACCGTTTTAATGGAGGACGTCGCAGCGGGTGAGATTATTTGTGAAACAGCTAGAGAAGAGCAGAAATCTCGTTATGACGCTTCTAGAGTAACACTTGGTTACTCTTACGTGGGCAGCTCTCGGTCACGTATTTTCATTCGTCTTTCATGTAATTATCCTTCTCTCTGTTCTCCTCGTTTCTACCACCCAGCTCTCTCTCTCTCTCTCTCTCTCTTTCTTTTCTCGGCGGTACACAAGTCCTTATCTCTCTCTTTCTTTCCCTCTCGTGCCTTCCTCCCTTTCTGTCTCTTTCTGTCGCAAAGTTATACACCTCCATCGTGCTGACGAATTTGCGAGATCATTATCTAAAACCAAGTCTGTAAATATAATGCGTAAACGGGCAATCTCGAAACTTGAGCGAAATTAATAAATTTTCGTACTCGCAGGGAGAAAGTATTTCGCGGTACGCGTCTCGTTCGCTCGCAACTTCCACGTTTCTGCGATCGTCGCAAGAATAAAAATACGAGAGACCACGTTCTATTTCGAACGGGAGAGTAATCCGTGATACGTACTAATACAGCGGATGGGCGATGATGACCTTCTCCAAAAACTTATTCCCGGTTAAGCAGATTCAAAACGGTAACGGAGACGATGAGCTTTCTCCTGTGCGAATTTTGCGTTCTTATTATGTCACACCTCGTTACTATCTAGCAAAAGTGGATGAGCCGTAATCTCGTGCTGCAAGAAAGCGAGACTCGCTCCGTTGCAGTCTCTTTGACATTGCAGGTGTCATCGCGCACGAAGATAATGTAAGGACGCTTCACCTTCGCAAAACTTGCTTATTCCTCTTCACATTTCCGCGCGCGCGCGTGCGACGCGATCCTCGCAGTACTTAGCCTCGGGTTTTCCGTGTGCGCCGAGTCGGCGTTACTTTTGACGTAAATTCACGCACATCATTCGTTTAACAAGGAATAAATAATATAATATAATAAATAGAAAGTATGCATTAAGAAACCCAAGAGGAGTTTCGCAAGAAATCTTTTTTCCTTTCCTTTAGATTTCCGACATTTTTCCTTTCATAAAAACTGTAATCTTCACCGAAGTTCACTCTAAGTTTTCCTTTTCTTCCTCTCTTCCTTTTTTCTTCTTTTCTTTTTTCTGCTGAAACCGAATCACCGGGACCGAGTCTTGAAAAAAAAGGAATTAATCACTTTCCACTTTTTATGTTTCGCGTCGGTCTCTACGCCATTCTTGTGCGCGTTGCGCTTTACTCCTCGTTACGCCTCGTTACGCAGGAAATTCTACACTCATGAGACGCGAAAAAGGGATCACCCGTCTCACGCCGGAGTCCCTCTCACGTTGTGGGCGTCATCACATCCACAGGTGGTACCGACGCGAAGCTTCATTACGCCATTTTTCAGGGTAGTCAGGAGTGTCACTTTGTATCCCAGTAGACAATCGCGACATTGGTGCCGGAGTATCTTGCCTTTTGTTAATCTTATTACGTTCCTCGTGGAGATATGAAATTGTCAAAGTCGGATGTAAAATGTAGAGTATGAAAGTTTGCGACTGTCTCGTGAAACGAGCGTCGTACATTGCATTAACCTCGGAAATGAATACTTTTCGAAACTCGCTACGTGATCAAGAAGAATTTGCATGGATAATGATACGAGATTAGGCACATGTGGTAATTAATATACTTAAAACTTTGCTACAAGAGATGCGCAAGAGATGACGCGTACGGAAAAGAGTAACGTGTCATGCGTAACGAAGGTAAAATCATTTCAAGATATCACACGCTAACGAGATGAGGAAAGAAACGTAACTACGAGCTGAAGCAGACACCAAATTCTGTACCAAGTGGAGGGAACTTGAAAGTGGAGATCGACTCAGAGAGAGAAAGAAAGGAAGAAAAAAGTAGGGGGAGAAAAAGAGATAGATAGAAGAGATAAAAGCAGAAGGTTTAAGAAGAAATCGCCATTTACAGTCATCTCCGTTTGATGTTGCAGGCGTCATCACATCGGCCGGCGGTGGCGGTGTGAGGCATCGTCTGAGCGGCGGCTCCGCGTCCGCCCTGAGCTGCGGGGGTGAGAAGCACCGGGACGGCAGGACCGGAAGGACCGGCGATGGCAGAACCGGTGGCGGTAGGGAAAAGGAGGATGACACCAAGAGCGCGGAGAACGTGTCCAGGGGGGTTATACCCTCGAGGCAGAGTCTCTTGGATCTCGTCAGCGGTAAATTCATGGGCCGACACACACCCACGCATCACTACTACCAGCAACATCAGCAGCAGGTTGGTCCCCACGCGAGCGAGCGTGCGCTAAAATATTCCTTTCACCGCCACTCGCCACTCGGAAAATATCCTGGCGAGGACACTCGGTGCCTGCGCGCGTGAGCGATCTCGCCACGCCATTGTCACTCGATACCTGATCCCCGAGCGTTTCCTCCCGCGAAAATCCTCTTTCCGGCGAGTAATTTCGCGCTTCTGCGGACGGAGAATCGCACGGTCCGATCGAGAGTGGGTGCGCGGAAAATATTAATGTTACGTCCGCTCTACCCGCTCCTCACCCATCATGTGTCGCGAGTCTCTCTTCTTCTCGAACAATGCAAGTACCCACATGCAAGCACATTTTAATTACTGGTTTTTCTTTTCATAAAACAGCGTCGTTGCGCTATTTAACGTATTTTTCAAGTATACACTCTCGCATCGCAAAGTCGATATTAAAAAGTAGCTTTGATTAAAACTGGAAAATGAAGGAGCAATAGAGAAAAGGCAGAGAAGAGCGAATGAGTTTCTGTAATTATGCCGCGTAAGTTAAATATTCCAGTCAGCGTTTATAAAAACGGGATAATAATCAAATTATATGTACCCTTATGAAAAACGTTCTACGCGTGCACGAGCACGCCGCGACAGACGCGCTTAATACCGAACTATCCGCGATGCGAAAAGAAAAACTGAAAAAAAAAAGAATTTGCAGCAACAGTCCCGCGAACGAAGCGGCTCCGATACCACATGGAAGCCATACTCCGGTGGCTCAGATATTGCACGAGGGAGTTGGAATAAACCAGCGCGAAAAATATATATGTAGGATTTGACGAATACCCGACAGGTTGGGAAGTAAGCGTGAACCTTTTGAAGCGATAGAATAGTATATTAGGATACAATCAAAGAATGAGGTTATACACGTTAGCTTCTTGTATATCTTAACTCGAGCGACGATTTCTCTTGCTCTTATTCTAGCCTCTAGCCCATGCCCCCACGCGCTAGCTTCCGCGGGGCCCTCTCTCGACTACACGACTACACTTCTCAGTGCGAGTCGAGGAGAAGCGCGAATCCTACACACATATATATATATATACGAGAAGGATTCCTGGGAAAATAAAAAAACAGCCGACTCGTGCGCGGCACAATTGGGCAAAATACGACGAATATATTAATTAATCGCGTCATTGTTATAAGCCGTGCCTGCGAACGTGCGCGCGCGTGCCCGAGAAACGGCTATTCGTGGCTGAACGGATTGCGGTAAGTGTGCGTATTAGCACGTATGAATAGCCGGAAGCAGGAGCAGAACGGGGTGAAAGGGACGGAAGAGAAGGGGCGAGGATGATTTTCGCGCAGTGTCAACGTCGCTCCGGGGAAACCTCATGCATCCTAATTGGTGCAGGTGTATTCTGTTTCGCAGCGTTACTTCAGCTCGTCGCGCGATTCGCTTCACGATACGTACGTGAATCGGAGAGCGAGCGAGCTTGATCTGTGCCGCAAGCCGAAGAGGAGGGATCACCTTAGGGGCAGATTCAAGCTGCCGTATGCAGTTGCGCTTACGCCGTCGCGCGAGCAGTCGCACCTGCACACACCGGCGTCGGTCAATCATCTCAGCAACAGCAGCTGCAACGGCACCGAGACGTGAGTACTCTCGATTGGCAATCGAGCGCGAAGTGTTTCAATTAGCGGCGAATATCAAAATGCTCCGACGGCCGACTTCGGTCTATCTCTCTCGAAATATCTCGATAACTCTCGTTATCGAGATATTTCGAGATCGAGGAAAAGACGGATATTCGTGGAAAAATTCAATTTGATGCTAATTTCGTTTTTCACGGCGGAGGAGGCGGAAAGGGAAGGGAATAAAATCCGCGGTGAAAATCCAGGAGGATGAATATAACGAAGAAATCCGCGTAGCGATGGGATCATAAATATTCAAGCGACTTCTTGGATGCTCTGAGTTAATGCCGCGCGGTACGACGTTTCTTGCGCTTCTAAAGACCGTTCAATCGCTGCCGCGCGGGCTCCGCTCAACCGGCGGTATCTTCGCGAGGGCATTGGTTCCCGTAGCGAAAGCAACGTGGGATTACGTGAAAACGAGCGCTTCCTAACTAAGCGACGGCAGCTTTATCTTGATCTCGGCGAAAACTCGGTGAGGCTGCGCGCGCGCGAATCCTTTCCACGGCCGCCTTCCGTGCGCTCGATACTTTGAAGGCCGTAGCGGGAGCAGTAACGAAAAATGATCGGCCACGTCGCGTAACCGCTGCTAGACACGGCAGCAATTAATCAACGCACGTTCGTTGAATTACTGTCTCAGGAGGTATACGGCGCAGCAGCAACAGCAGCAACGCGGTAGTAGAGGCTATCCCGGACAACCAGGATCGAGGGGTTTCCGCACGGGCGCGCCGAACTGGTCCTTCATCTTCGATCCTGCGGGACGTCTCTGTTACTATTGGTCAATGGTGGTTTCCCTTGCCTTTCTTTATAACTTCTGGGTGATCATCTATAGGTTTGCCTTCCAGGAGATCAACGGTAAGTTCGCGACGCGCTTATGACTTTTCCTCCTCGCCGAGGGCGCGATGGGGCCGTTTTATGTGCGGCTTTGAGGCCGAGATCCGCGGATCGGAAATTTATAAGAGCTCCAACTTCGCAAAATCCGTTAATCTGTTTTCCTAAAAAAAAAATTAATTAAATCGCTGAAGCAGAGGCCGGCGAATCTTTGGAGGTTGGGTCTTATATTGATTAATCCGTGAGCGTATTCTAGTAAATATCTTCGTTCTAAGATTGGGAAGATGTATATATATATATATATATATATATATATATATATATAGATATAATTAATTAATTAAAATATACTCTTTCCATCCGCGCAATTCGACTTATTTTCATGTGATTATTCTGTATTATTTTTAACGTTTTAAAATCCCGCGATTGTCATTTTTTCATTTGCAAACAGATGCTCGTATAACATAAAAAAAAGAATGTTTTTAATTAAAAGTATACTAAATATACGGATTTGAGCTCGAATTGTACAGAACGGAACGGCGGGGCAATATTTTATAAAGTAAATTAAAACTCTCCTAATATAAAATATGAGAGGACCGTTATATTGCGGCCCTGTTTACATTCTTTAGTTTATCGATGTGAAAGCATTCCAAAACTGTGAATTGCACTTGATGACATTCCATATCCAAGAGTTTCAAACGTTATTGAGTGAATTAAATTTTGGTTAAAACGCTCTACTTTAACATCTGCTTAACATCAGCTTTAATTAAATGTTAAAGCGAGCGCCGACATGGTGGACAATAATTTGCAAAATAATTCGTGAATTAAATAGGAAATAACGATATCAACAATATTATATATTTCGCGTCCGCGTCGAGTGTCGGAAAAATCGCTTTATCGCTCTTGCAACTCGCAAATACAAAAAATAGAACTAAATATAATGGCGATCGATAACCAAGCATCAATGACTTTCGAGTTACAATCGAATGGCAATGGGAAAAATGCTAACGAATCAAATCCCGAGAGTTCGTGCGATTTTCGCAAAAGTCAAAACGCGTTCCGCGGCATTTCTCTCTTTCGTAATAAATCGTTACAAAGATCGACTATGATCATACATTACGGTATACATTGAGATGAAAGTGCTTGAGATGAAATGTATCTGTTTTCAAACACAGGAGAGACCCGTTGGGTGTGGTTCTGCCTGGACTACTTCTCGGATTTTTTATACGTGCTCGACATAATATTTCACATTCGAACGGGATACTTGGAAGACGGCGTGCTGCAAACCGACGCCACAAAACTGAGAAATCATTACACAAACAGCACCACGTTTTACATAGACATCCTGTGCCTGCTGCCCCTCGACTTTTTATACTTATCTATAGGATTTAACAGTATGCTGCGAAGTTTTAGACTCGTAAAAATTTACCGGTAACTATCATTCAATATTTATATATTATTTCTCTTTGCGATTTCTCTGGCTTACGTGAAATCAACTGCACAGAGTTCTGCGCAGTCTTGAAATTTCACGAAAACTTGAGAAAACTTGAGTTTTTTTCACGTAGCATGAAAATTATTCGCTTACGATGCACGATGTACGCACTCGAGGAACATTGATTCCCCTCGCGCGGAATTGAGCGCGCGGAGCACAACGAACCGGAGCGCTTTTTACACTCGTTCAGCAAGAACACGCGCAGAAATTTTATTTCGATCTCAACAAGTCAAATACACGTTCGGAGTTCGGAGCGATCGAGATCGGGCGAATTTCTTCTCTTCTCGTCCCGGCTCGCCGCGCCATGATTGGTACCGGGAAATGTGCAAGTGCGAAAAGTTCGGATTTCTTTCCGTGGAGCACCACCGAGCGGGACTTGTTTGGGCTGAGCCGAGATTGAAAGGGATTGCAAAAGTTTGAGTGTAGAGCCACGGTAATGCGACGCTGATCTTTCACGCACGAACATTTACATTCCGCTGGATACATCGACAATCTGATAGTAGCGAATATGATTGTAGTGGAAAAGAAGCGAAACAAAAGACGAAAGAAACTAAAGAGAAACCACGTCGAACAGATAACCGCGCGCGCGATTCGTCTATGTTGTTGTTCCTCAATATTATTCTTTAACGGGAGCACATACAACACGGATCGCGCTTTCTCCTACGAACGTGAAGATGCGTGCCGCATCAACGATCGTCGTTTCGCATTACATCATCTCCACGGCCAATCGTGGGCGGAATCGGGGGGAACGGAGGGGGCACGACGTATCTATCGGAACGGAATTTCGGGGAAGAAGGGTGTATGCTCGTAAATAATAAATAAAACAAGAAGGCCGAACGGAAAGCGTATTTTAACCTGTTGAAGGCACGCGACCTGGATTCTTCTTCTTCATCGTCGTCGTCGTCGTCGTCGTCGTCGCCGTCGTCGCTGTCGCGCTCAATGTGCGCGTTCGCTCGCACGAAAATTAGAAGAAACGCTCGTCCCCAAAAACGTTCGTTGTACTTCGCGCGAAGCTTCCCGCTGCGATGTTCCGCGAGGAATTTCGAAATTTATCACCGCGACCGCCGGAATTTCCGCCAATTTTCTCAACCCGCCTTTTCTCTCCGCCTCTGACGTAGGTTTTGGGCGTTCATGGACAGGACCGAGCGACACACAAACTACCCGAATTTGTTTCGCTCCACCTCCTTGATACATTATTTACTGGTGATCTTTCACTGGAACGGGTGCCTCTATCACATTATTTATAAGAACAATGGCTTCGGCAGTAAGAACTGGGTGTTCAGCGACTCCGAGACGGCGGACGTGGTGAAGCAGTACCTGCAGAGCTACTACTGGTGTACTCTCGCTCTAACGACCATCGGTGATCTGCCCAGGTATTTCCTTCTCTCCCTTTAGCCTTCTACAAATTTCGTAAGGCGTTATCATTGCGGAAATTCGAGAGCGATCCCCAGATCCCAGATGCGTGCGCGATCATCGCTTGCTCCCTGCGTGTTTACGGTCCGAAGGACTGTAAAAAAGTAACAGCAACACAAAAGAGGGAGAAAGAGAGGATCGCTGCGCTCGCATGGGCGCAAATTCTGGCCGTTCGTTCAAACGTTTAAATCCCGCACGTGCCGCGTTCCGCTCGTTGAAATTTTCATGCCGCGCGGATTTTTTTCATTCATTTACGTGAATTACGCACAAGATAAAAACGTGTAACGCGCGTATTTGCGCGCGTTCGCTATTTAGTCGGACAGCGGTGGAAAATAAAAGAGAGAAGAAAATTTCGTAAACGCCAACCGCAATTATGCGGCAATTGGATATGATAGTGTCCCATCCGCGGTCGCGCGTAATTCCTTGGGTATTCTCCTATTTTTCTTTTTTCTTTTTTTTTTAACGTCGCGACAGCCCCTTCGAGAATAGCTTTTTACGCCGTTATAAAGCGCATTATTTTCGAATCGATATACATGCGGTGCGGTAAAAGCGTATCAAACGCACGCGTCGTCATCACGGGATTGTTAGAACGACGGTCCCTCCCACTCCCCACTGTTTTTCTTTCCTCCTCTCTTTTTAATTTCACATCCACGCTCCAACATCGCGATCCCCGCGGGATCTCGACATCATTAACCGCATATAACGTTCCGCGTGTAATTCTACGCATTCCCGCACGCGCGCGCGCGCGCACGTACACGTAATGACGTAATGACGTCCCAGAGCGATCAATTTTTAATAAAACATACCGGGGCATACATCGTCACCACCACTCGCGGTTGTGCAGCACGCGCGAAATGTAACTCTCGCGAAATGTAAAATCCGAGAGGGGGGGGACAGGGGACGCGTGCGAAATATGCGCTAATCGACAAAAAGCGCCTGTGGTGCGATTCTTTACTCGTTATTGGAGTTAACGACAGTTTCGTTGTCGTTGCGCAGCTTTTCTACGATATACAAAAGCTGCGCAACGATAACGAAAGTGTCGTTAACTCCAATAACGAGTTAAAGAATCGCACCACTGGACGGATGTGGTGGGGACGGTCGGAATCCGACGTCTCGGAATCGACGGTGAGATCTTTCTTTTCGCCGTTTTTTCGCCGTTTTTTTTTCGGTATTTTAATGCCGCGATACACGCTGCTCGCGAGGAATGCACTCGCGATTATAACGATCTTGCTCAATAGCGTTTATTTTAGCCGCACGTACACGCGCGTGCCGTACGCACCGAAATCCGTCGTGTTTTACGCTGGAAACTCGCGGATCATATCAATTACTCGCCGATATTTTGCCGAGCCAAACGAAAACTCGAAGTCATTATTTCGCGCACAGCCCACTCGACCGCCGCGCCGGCGGCCATGCAATCGGCTGGGCGAAAAAAGCATGAGTGAGTGGATCGGTATTTTCGTTGGCGCACCTAAAATAGAGAGAGATCCGCGCGAAAGGACGGTGGTGAGAAAACGTTTTCGCTTCGGCCGATTTACTCGTCGGACAGAGAATTTCCATTCGAGAGTGGTCTTTATGCTTCTTATTTAGTGTGAAAGAGAGCGCGACGCCCGCGGTGAATAATTACTTAATAAAGGAACGAGCGAAGGAGCTTTGTATCCCCGCTCTCTGTTCATTTGTGTTTTCATAGAAAGGCATTCGTGAATTGAATCCTCCCTCGCGTGAAAGCCGATCGATTTTCGCGATTAAAAATGTTGAGTGCGTTTTGAGACGAGCATACGTTGGCCGAAAGACGCGATTGCCGATGCACTCATTTTCTTCTCTGTTTTTCTACTTATTTCTCTTCCTTTCTGTCGCAGGCCGAGAAGCAAGGGCGAGTACCTCTTTGTGATTGGTCAGCTGTTCTTCGGTTTGCTGCTGTTCGCAACGGTGCTGGGGCATGTCGCGAACATCGTCACTTCCGTCAGCGCAGCGCGAAAGGAGTTTCAGGGTGAGTCAGATTCAAATTCCACGCATGCACGCATTTTTGCATCCGCACTTGCCGGCGGTACTTAAACTTCCCGCAGAACGGCGAGAGTGGAGAGCGGGATCCACCGGCGATTTCGTTTGTACGTCACGAGCAGCGCGAATTTCCATCGGCCAACGCCCGCGAATTCTAATCGCATATTTTGCGAAAGTTCATTTCGAGCCGCTCGTACCCGCGGCGGAAAAGCGCAGAAGCAAGCACACTCGGAAGAGGAGAGATTCACGAAGATATTCATCTCTTGGCTCGTGACTGTAAACGCAAACAATTCGACGCGCGTCATGCCTCACGGCGCGAAACGAAATTTACGATTTTCATCCGAAACACCCGTGAAACGAGTTACGCGGAAGTTCGCAAAGTTCGTACGAACGTTTAAAATGACGGCAATTGTTCATCTAAAGTGCTCGAATCAGGTGAATCAGAGCGCGAATTGTGGCTGGCATTATAACGCGAACGTCTTAATCCAGATTCAACTTCCGAAGTTTAAGAGCTAATTTGATGCAACACACACGACAAGGGGGGAATCTCGTAGATGCAGGGAGCGAATGAAAGAGCGAGAAAGAGAGAGAGAGAGAGAGAGAGAGAGAGAGAGAGGAGGCAACAATCGCGCCGCTGAGTGAGACAAAAGACACCTATATCAGGTGGATACAGAGAGACGAGTTCGCGACGCGACGTGGCGAAAGGGCAAAGCTCAAATTCACAGACATCATTTCCCTAATGTTCCATCACGAGAAAAAAAAGGAAAGAAAGGGATGGAAGAATACGCTTACGTACGTTACGAGCGAGCTGAAACTCGAATGATCGCGCGGCCGAATGAATTTTTACGACCAAACTTTTTCTACATCTGCCGAAAAACGCGCGAAAACGGACCTTATCCTTCCGCTGTGTCCTAAGTCAGTCGCTCGAGTAGCAGCTTGGCAGATCGCCATAAGGCAGTGTCCCTGAAGCCTCTCCGGCCCTCTCGAGCCGTTCCGTCGCGCCGAGGGGATGATACATAACTGCATTTTCAATTAACGCTGAGCAGGAAATGGACACTTCGTTTCGCGCCGGAGTCCCGTTTTAATTGCGCCGCGCGTCGCAGTTTCACCGCCATCCGCATTTCCACCCTTACACCTTCGGTATTTCACGACTCGTCGGGCTGTTACGCGGTTCTCTCTCTCTCTCTCTCTCTCTCTCTCTCTCTTTTTCCCCGCGAAATGATTCTCTCGCGATTCGGCGTCGAGACTCTGGCGTGAGAAGGAAGGAGCAAGATACGACACAACGGTCGTTTTAACACGACCTTCTCTTACGCCGAGCGCTACGCGCTCCATTACGACAATAACCGCCGATGAGTTTCCGGCCGCATTGTATCGCGCAATGCGCCAGAGAACCATGGAAGATATAACCGAGAGGTGGAAGACCTCGCCATTGTGCAAGTAAGCTTCTTGCGCGACGTCGTCCGATCACGATGGAGTCCCAAGATATATTTCGCAGCGGTCGGACTGCCAGCGAACGAACGTCTCTCTCCCTCATCTCGGAAGCAGAGTTCAGTGCAATCGAATTCGACATTAGCCACAGTCCAGCTGTGGCGCAATTAAGATAGGAAATGTGAAAACAGCATTTGTCCCAATTGCGATTTTCCAGCTCACCGATTAAGATCCTTTAAGAAGCTCTGTAAATCCCTCGATTCTCGTATAACAAGGAAAGCCGACACGATCAATGTTTAATGACGGTCTTTGGGGATCGTTGAAAAGCTGGAACGAGTTCTCTCGTTATCTCCATTATGTTGGTGAGAGATTTCTTTGACGTAACGACGCGAGAGCTGGACAAGGGAACTCGCGGCGCTTGCGGAGAAAATCGAAGACGCTCGCGTTTCACTCATTTCGCCCTTAACATCCGCGATCGATATGGTTATGCAACAAAAGAAGTGACCGCAGAGTTGCCAATTATAGCATGTAAACGAGCCTTTCATGCCGCATGGTTCTCCGTCTTTGAATTTTACCGAAGCTTAATCGAAATGTCAATCGTCAGTGTGCCAAGAACAAATTAATATTTCTCTTTATAATGACAAGAAGCTCAGTTGCACTTTGATTGCAACTTTGTGGAATCTCGGCGACGGCAAAGCGGACAAAATACCGCGAGGTAAGAAGAGAGACACTCGATAACTCGCACGCATGTCAAAGAAGAAATGCGCGTCCGATAATTACCTCCCTGGAATAAACCGCGATCGCGATGCGCAGGATACGTATTCTAATTTTTATTTAACGACGAATTTGCCTATTTCGATTTAATCCCGTACAGACTCGCAAGCTGTATATTAATTCGCCCATTCGGCTCATGTCCTCAGTTTTCCACCGACGCGAAATTATTACCTACCTCGCTCCTCCGATATACGTCTCGTTCTTTACGGATATCAAGCTGTCTTGGTGTTTCCGTCGGCTGCTTTGCCCAGACAACTTTTCGTCTGTGCAAGCGTCTCGTGCAAAGTTGCATACATAGTTTGTTGCGCAACGAAAAGCGGAGTGTTGACATTACGAAAGAGAGAAAAAGACAGAAAGAGAGAGAGAGAGAGAGAGAGAGAGAGAGAGAGAGAGAGAGGGAGGGAGGAAGAAAGAGCGGTGTGGACGTTGACACAACAAGAATTCAATATCGCGGAAATTTCAAATTTATTTACCGTGTGAAAGTCGAGTAGACTCAACGTCGCAGAATAAATTCTGCATAATCGACGTCGAGCTCGTCGGAGCTTCGTTAGTTCGTCGGTGAGTTCTTTCGCGATACGAAGCCGGTTAGTCCGAGGGGGAGGGGGAGCAAGCGATGGCTGTGCGATAAGAAATCACGAGAACAGGGCGCGTAGGAAAACACGTCACACAAAGAAATAACGGAATAACGGAAATATTACGATAACGGTTTAAGAAAGTTCACTTTCGTTCGCGCGGGATCGATCGGCCGTAGCACAAGTCTTCTTGAAGAAGACGAGCGCGATCGCGACTCTGTGGAGTAAGATGTGATACGGCGAATAAAATTCGCTGTGAAGAATCGCCGGGGATGCAAGCACAAATGCGCTATTTAACGTTATCAAATCTTCCGCGCGTTTACTCCCGCCTCGCGCCCTTCTTCCTGCCCTCTTCCTGCCTTTTGCCTCCGTCATGATAAACCGATTTAAATTCGATGCGGCCCCAGGGGCGGAATTTTATTTGCGACGCGGAACGGAGAATTGCGCCGAGATTAATACTATAAACGTAATTCCGCAGGATCCGCGGAAATATAAAATACTGCGCGACGGTGCGGTAATGACCGCGCGCGCTCTTTACTTTTGCAATTTTCCCCGGGGAATTAAACTGCTTCCGGCGGCACAGCGTCGGTGATTAAATATGGAACGCAATAGAATTTCTTCTAATTCCGTATTCGCCCGCCTTCAGCTACGCGAAATCTCGTTACGAGATCCGCCGCGCGGTATCGTTATTGCTCTAGCGCGCGCAGTTGCTACGTGACAATCGTGGATTTATTGGATTGCCGTGAATTATCCACCCCGCGCGGGACAAACAAACGTTCGCACGGAAGAATATAAAGAAGAGAAAAATGCGCACACGCGTGCGCGTGCGTGCGCGAAACGGGCGAAACAAAAGTCTTAATGCGTCCCTTTTAGCCAAATATGCTACAGTGTGCGGCGGAATTTGAATATATATTATATATATATATATATACCATATATATATATAGACGGAAGTAAAAGAAAATATTTGTACGGTGCGAAACGGAGGATCGAAATGGCGTCCGCAGTAGCACGCTGCAGGCGTGCGAATTTTCGTTCGAAAGGCGACGTGCCTGAAGTGCGGGAAGAAGATCGCACGCGAGAGTAATTCGTCAAACTCATAATTTTCTACGCTCCTCGTGTCGTCGCTCGCGTAACAATTTACGGCGCAAACGTCGTCATAGTCGCTCAAAAAGTTTTCCAATTTGCCATAATTACGACAGCGAGTGTTCGTTAGACTCCCTCCTTCCCTCCCTTCCTCCCTCGCACAATTGGCTATCATTAAACGGCTATAGCCGTTGACGAGTTCGCCGTGAGTTTACACGTCTGGTGTATCCGCTGACGATTTAGATACTGCTTCTCGCGCGGAATATTGTCCGCGATTGGTGCAAAACTCCCGTGATTTTGCCACCACGTCGCCGTCGCGTCCGCAAAGTTCACTTTTAATTGGCCGTCGTTAAATAGTTTATTGGCGCGTTACGCCCGCGGTAAAGGCTAATTGGAAATAACCATGCATGACGAACCCTCGTTAAATCGAGTGTGCCGCGGCCGAAAGGGACGTGTTTAAAACTTGCGCCGTGACCGTAGCTCGAACGACCTCTTGCGATCCTTCCGAAACGAGGCAGAGACGTCGAGGATGTGACAGGATACGAGGAGAGGATTGAACTTGCACCGCTCGAAACAAGGCGGTGAAAAGCAGCGTTATCTCGAACATACAGGTTGCGTGAAAAGTTCGCGGAGCGGCATCTATCTAGTAAACGGTACAATTATATATTGTAGTCGGTTATATAGAATCACTCTTCACATGAACCTAGGTTCGGTTTCATTTCCATCTGTCAATTCTTTCTGTGTTTACAAGCCAATTGAAGTTGACGTGTCAGTATATTTGTTTGCAATGGAAAATTTGAAACAGCGTGCAGTGATTGAGTTCTTTGTTAAAAAAGATTTAAAGGCAATGGAAATTCATTCCGAGATGGTAAATGTGTTAGGGGAATCTGCTCCTTCAAAAACAATGGTTTGTAAATGGGCACTTGAGTTTCAACGTGGTCGTACAAGCATTGAAGATGATCCACGCAGTGGACGTCCTAAAAGCGCATCAACACCAGAAATTGAGCAAATACATGTTATTGTTTCTGAGGATCCAAGTGTGACTACGCGTGAAATTGCTCATATCATAGGCATTTCAGATGAACGGCTACGGCATATTTTGCATAAAGAATTACAAATGAAAAAGGTG